AGAGAAAGAGAAAGAAGTAGTTCACCCCTTCAGTCTGCGAGTAAATTAATTAGCAGCTTGACCTCCGAGTCAAAGAGTGAAATCAGTCATAAGGGTGTCGGTTTCGTCTTGACTTCCTGGCGAAGTCTCATTAAATAAAGGGACAGGAGAATACTGACTATCTATTTACCTTGTGAAAAGAAGGGACAAGTGGTTGGGTTCAGGGGAAGAAGGGGGTTTGTTTCTCTTGAGTCTTTCCTTCTAAATTGAATTACCTCGTTACATCGGATTCAGTAGTGAAGGAGCTGATCCTCCAGGTTTCCTTTAGTCTTTACAGTCGAATAAATTAACAAGAACTGACGGGAATAATAGGGTCAAGAAAAGGCGAAGGAGCCCTTAAGAAGGAATCGGAAAGAACCAAGCAAGCAGTTTATAGAGTTAGAGCTGAAGGGGAGCCAAGCTGAGGTTATTTAGTTATTGAGTTTACCAAGTGAAAGAAGAAATAGGTGCACTAGCAAAGTAACTGGACGAGAAGAGGAGTGAAGGATCAAGAATGTTGAGTCTTGACTTACAGTGAGAATGAATCTTGCTTGAGGCTTTCCCTTGGTTACTTTGAATAACTCACAGTAACGGAAGGGAAGGAATAGTCAAAGAAAGATAAGGAAGGGGAAGGAGCGAAGCAGCTGGCAGGTTCAGGAGCTAAGCCACTTTAAAGAATAGGAACAAAGAGGAGAAGGAATCGGTAGTCTTTCCTCTCCCTTCAATCAAACAAAGACTGTATAGGGTCGGTTCAAGTTCCTTCATTCATTTACTTACTCTCCTTCCTGAAAAGCAGCTAATTCATCTTGAGTTCAGTCTTCACTTTCTGAATAAGGATCAAAATCAGAGAAAGAGGTGAAGGAAGTAGTTTAGGCAATGAATGGGTTCAACCGAAAAAATAAATAGAGGGAGGAGTGAAGCAGTTTAAGAAGGTGTAGGGGCAGGTGTAGGTCAGGTCATATCGGTTCAGGTTCAGTCGCTTCTCTTTCTTGACTTTCTCTTTTACCCCGACTGTAAATGAACAAGAACTAAAGGTCATATCGGGGAAGTAGTTCAGGAGAATGCGCTTCTCTTTCTTGACTTGGCTTTGTTGAATCTTTCAAGCGAGTTAAAGAATCAATAGGAAAAGGGGCGAGGCCACGAGACCGAGTTCAATCAGCTGAAGGGTTACGATCATTTGTATAGGGAAGCAGCTTTACCCACTGGTTCAGGATCATTAATCTTTCGTCTTTCAAGCAGAAAAAGAAGAAGAAGAACAACAAAGAACGGACTAAAGCCTAAAAAATAAATGAGATAGTTCCACCCCAGTCTTTGAATAAATAGGTGAACGAGGGAACAAGAACTCTCATTAATCTTTCTCTTTCGTCTTGACTTCTGAATTACCTAGTGAAAGAGTGAAATATGTCTCATTCATCTTCTCTTGCTTTCTTTCGTCTTGACTTCTGAATTACCTTGTTCAATCAGGGAGAGTCAATTCAATCCTCAGCTGCTTGACCTCCGAGTAAGTTCAAGAATCATCCTCCCGTTTACCTCGTTCAATCAGAGTCCAATGCAAGGTTGGTTACTCTCAAAGCTTCTCTTTATCTCACTGTAAACTCTCTTTCTTTCATTCTCTGATTCATTCATTCACTCTCATTAATGTTGAGTCTTGCTTCAGTCTTTCATCATTACCTCGGTCAATCAAAGAGTTATTCTATTCATTCTATTTACCTCCTCGTAAAAAAGAAGGTGAATGAGAGGAGCAACTTGACCATAAAGAATAGGTGAATGAGCTTGAGCTTCTCTTTCTTGACTTTTTCTTAGTGCTTGCTTTACCGAGTGAATAAATAGGTGGGTGGGAGTTCCATCTCATTAATCTTCTTCTCGGACATCCTTTCATTTGTTTACAGTCGAGTAAAAGAGTGAAAGAAAGAATCATCCTCCATCCCTTCAGTCGAGTAAATGAATTAGTGGCTTTACTTCTTGACTGAAAGAAGCGAGAGGAAAGAAAAGGTGTAGGTCATGGAATAGAGTCAAAGGTGAATGAGTTCAATCAGGTTATGGCAATGGAATGGAAGTTTACCTCGTGTAGAAATAGTGAAAGAGTGAAAGAGGGTGAAGGTTCAGGAGTTTACAAGAGAGAGAGTCAATTCAAAAAGATAAAGGAGTTCAGGAGCCGGAGTTCAGGAGCTTGCCCTTCTTCTTTTCTTACTTTACTTACTGTTCAATCTGTCTCATGAATCGAGAGTTGAGGATTGACTGACTATTCACAATCACTGACGGGAATAGAGGTGAAGGAGAAGAGAGAATAGTTCCACCCTCGCTCGGGAAATGAAAGAAAATAGGCAAAGGTGAATGAGTTTACAGTTCAATCCGTCTCATGAATAAGGAGTGGTTACAGGAGAGTCAAAGAGTGAAAGATGAACAATCACTGACTGTTCAGTCTCATTCTTCTTGAGTCTTGACTGACTGTGAAGGATCATTTTGTCTTGCTTTCTTTTACTCTTGCTTGAAGGATTGAATGAATGGACTCTCCTGTAAGCTAATTCATCTTTCATTTGATTCCCCCTGAACTGTAAAGTCTCATTAATCTTTCATTCTCTGATTCTGAATGAATAATAGAGAGAGGGAATAGAGGTTCGTTCAGTAGTTCTGTCTCATTCTTCTTCTTCTGGTTCAGTAGCTGATCTTTCTTTCATTCTCTGATTCTTCTTCTGGTTCAGTAGTCAAGTCTCTTTCCTCTCCCTTCTACAGTTACAGTCGGTAAAAGAAAAAGATCAATACTCCTTATTTATTAATTAATTATCCTGAACCTATTTATTCTTTCACTGTAAACTCGGTTCATTGAGTAGCTCTTTGATTGAATTTGATTCTGCTTGAAAGACTCTTCAAATGAAAGAAAGATCAGCTCATTCACCCTCCCCTAAACCAACAATTTTGTTTCGATCGAACCCCCTTTCTCTAATAAGTCGGAGGTCTTCGTAAACATGTTAAAGGGCTAATCTTATCCCCGCAAGTGAGATGAGGGTACTCTACTCGTTTGAACTCTACATGTGAGGCCTTCTCTCTCTTTCTTCTAACCGTCATCAGTCTTTTCTTCTTTATTAGGAAGAAATTGCAGCAAGAATTGAAGAAGAAGAAGAATGCAGCTAAACCTCACAATCCAAGAGCCATCTCTACTCCTTTTTTCTTCTTTCATGAGGATCAAAGGGAAAGGGGTAATCCTTGATGCTTTCATCCATCCTCATAATAGCACAAAAAAGAGTCCCCTTCTTGGTATCCATAGGAATCAGCAAGAGAAGAAACCCAAAGGTCTTGAATTTCCACCAATCAACAATGTGAACTGTTGAGCCCTGTCCGTTAGAGGCAGAGAAACCAACAAACATGCATTCAATCTTTAAATTGCTTGGAGAGGTAAATTGGGGAAGAAGAGGACTTGTAGGCCTAATCGACGAGTACTCGATTCACACTCGGATCATTTTCATTACATCTCTGTACTCAATCCAAACCGTTATCTGTATACCACTAGTCAAATCAATCCCCCTTTCAACAACATTAACGGAAGCCAAAGATACTTGCTTATATACCTAGATGATTCCCATTGATGTCAACAAGCGAAGGGTCAAACTGGTATCAAATTCCACAGCGATGAATGAATCTTCCCCATCCCATCTAAGAACAGTTTTGAGAGACCCATATACCCAGGAAAGAATCCGCATTAGAGGTGATAAAAAAGGCAATCCCATCTACAGAAGGACACAGTGGGGAAGATAGTTTTGAGAAGGAGAAACGACATGAGAAAGATGCGGTGGAGTTCGTCTCGGAATCAAGAAACCGAATAGGGTAGACATAAAACTGAAGCAGAGGAAGAAGAAGAAGAGAGGGACTGATTGAGTGAGACTAATGGCTTTCTTTCTGAAGTAAGCATCACCAAAGAGGGTGACATTCTTTGCAGGCAAGAAAGCTGTACAAAGCGTGGGAATACTGAAGATGAAAAAGAAAAAGAAATGGCTCCGGAAGAGTCAAACAGCAGGAGAATGCATTATAGAGTAACAAATAGGAAAGATCACTGGGTAGAGACTACGAATTAGACAAAGAGAGCTCCTTCAGCTGAGAAATTTTTAGAAGATCAAGAGTCAAGAGATTTTATCGCCATTTTGATTGGGTCAATCTTTTTTCTCATGGAAGTTTAACAGCTTGTTTCCATATGGCCTCCTCGTTGAGACATTATCACTTTGGAATGGTTTATCCATGGACACCCCTAGGCTATGCTCTCGCTTGCTTTCATGTACACGTCTTACCTCTTCCCTACAACCCATGACATACCCTGCTTTCTATGCCATGCTTCCTCCAATACTGGAACAGGGCCATTTCTTTACTTTAAGCTTAGGCTGACCTGCTTCCGTAGCTGTCCTTCCTTTCCTCATTGCCACTAGACTTGGGCAAAATACTAGATTTCTGAACCTTTCTTTCCCACCCCATTCAATGGAGGGTTGTAACTGAAGCAAGCACTTGGCTTTAGAGCCCTATCACGTAAGGGAGAAGAAAGACTGAATGTGTAAAGCGGGGGGTCAGAAGGGAACTTCTCCCCCTGCCTGTCATCTGCGATCAATGCACTCAATTTATCTTGATTTGGGCAGTCACGGGCGGGCTCTTTGAGGTCCTCCACAAATGAAACAACCGCAACCCTTCTTCTTTGTTAGGTTTACCAGGCTTGTTCCCAGCTCTTTGGTAGCATGCTCTTCCCCTTTCTTTTGCTCTCCACTCCCCTCATCTTGTTGCCTCGAAGAGGTTTCCCCTTTGTTTGTGCGAATGAGTAGGTTTTTCCATGTCATCTACCATTCTTTCTGCAACAATGATCGCTTCAGCCAAATTTGATACATTTTGCTAACGAAGTTCTTGTCTAGCCCAAGGATGAAGATCGTTCGGGAAGAAAGCCTTCCTTCCCTGATTTAAGGTTTTAAGGCTGCAAACACTGAACTCTCTTTTCCCTCTTCAGGCACTAGTCTCCGCCTCAACGGATCTCCGACAACTCAACCTCGACTCCTGAATGGTGGCTTAAGGAAGCAAGGAGGCTCGCGGAACACAGTAAGATAATGCGACAGATAGTTAGACATACAATAGGAAAACTAAACTAAGAAGATGGATAGACGGTTGTGAGAAGAGATCACTACTTTACGCTGCTATACAGACCATAAGAACAATAGCTACTGCGCTACGCTCATTCTTAATCGATTTGTACCATACAAAAATGCGAGGATGTATAGCTGATTGACTTAGAATACCAAAAGAAGAAGGAGCTGAAAAGCTTTTAGTGGAGGAGGAGCACCCGTAGTCCTCTTGATATATACGCATCGCATGGGGCTCCCTCAGAACTACCTACCTCCGAAAGAATACATGACGAAGTTAACTACCCCTCACTAGAACATAGTTGCTACAACATTACATGGTAGTTGGTACTCCCGGAATGGTTCGGACCTTCCTCTATTTGCTTTGCTCATAGCGGATCGGGCATACACACATATGTAAATCAAGCCTTTTCTCGAACTGTCCTCGCTCCTCTCCTCTTGCGAATCCTTATCAATTTTGATTCTTTCTTTCTCCTTATCTGATTCTTTTTCTATTGATTCTAAATTCTTCTTCTTTCATTTTCTCCTTGACTTGAGATTTGGAAATGAAAATTCAGTAAATTCCTTGAGAGCTGCTCCTGGACTGATTGAACTCGGTAAAGCAAGAACTAAGAAAAAGTCAGTTCTTGAACGAGGTAAAGCTGCTTCTCTCCTGAACCTTGGTAAAGCTGCTTCTTTCCTCTCCCAGGTTATCATAAGAAACCCCCATTTTTCTGAAGCACTATCTGTCCCTTTCTGCGTCTATATTAGTTTAGGTCTAATGAGATCAACAAAATTCTTAACGAACTAGTTTCATCACATAATTGTTATCTAGTCCTATTTTCTTTTTCAAATCCAACCTTATTCTACTGTATCTACCCTAGAAAACACTCGATCTCCAAGCCCTTTGTATAGGTGGTTGGGCAAGTTTGGATGCCCCTACTTCCAACAAGTTTGTGGTCGGGATCGTGGAACTCTCGCTTGAGAAGTAAGTAAGTTGGTCCTTATTTGGTCATAAGGATAATGGTTCTTATTAGGTCAGGGGCAGCCGGCCTGGGAGTTACCCGCGATTGGTAATGGCATAACCAGAAGAGGGGTAGGAGAAAGAAGGTTACTCGCTGGTTAGTGCAGCGCATTTGTTTCGGGTACAGAGGCAACGAGGGGTGCTAACTCGGCCACCCAACCCAGCAGGTCAGGGGATGGCCGGCCATAGATTCAAATCCTGCCACCTTTCTTGTGGATCATCCTGTGGTTACCGGATGATGGGAATAAGAAAGCATAAATTAGGAAATGAGAATGAAATGTCAATATATGAATTGTTTCATTATTCGTTATTTCCTGGTCATTTTGTTGCATTCACTTACAACAGGAAAGAACCACCAGCGTTTGGTGCAGCACCTGCATTTTGGTGTATTCTTCTTTCTTTCTTTGGTCTTTCGTTCGGTCATATTCCTAATAACTTATCCAATTACAATGTATTAACCGCGAATGCACCTTTTTTTTTTATCAAATCTCAGGGACATGGTCTAATCATGAGGGTAGTATTTTATCATGGTGTCGGATCCCAAGTTTTTATGGATTCCTTCTTTGTTACCGGGGTCGACCCCAAAGCCATAATGTCTCAAAACAAGGAGGCCATAGAGAAACTCTTTTTTATTTCTTTCTTTCGAACTTCGTAAAGAACCCCATTCAAGATCTCCCTCATTACGAACATTAAAGTGGGGCTGCGCCCCTGTTGTGCACTCCCTTCATTCTACGAACCCTTGTTGATTTTGAACTTCGTTCCCGGAGGAACCGGACTTTTGACGGGCAAGCCCTTTTTTATGCGCCGCTCTACCCTGAAAGGAAAATAAGCTTTGCTCCTCTGGGCTCCCGGCGCTCTCGTGGTTCGAGAGAAGGAAAAAGGACTCATCCTTTGTTGCATCTGGCACGAGATGATAAAGAGAGAGCTTCGTCTATCGATGAACAGCGGATTGATGGAACTCTTGGCATTACTTTGTTTTTCTCTCCTTTCCTATCAGCGAGTTCCGATCCTTTTGTTCAAAATTTCCTTATTCGTACCGAACCGCTTGCAGAATCAAATCCTGTTCCACAAGATCCTATATCAGCTATACATCCTCCTTGCATTTCTGCCGGAGATGTCTCTAGTGCTATGGGTTTTGGCTTATGTAGATCCAAAATGATGAATGGGATTGTGGCACTTCACTCGCCGCCAATGCGGAAGGATGCCCCCGAAAAGAATGGAATGCTGCTTCGCTCTACTGGACGGATCCCGTATAAGAAGCGAGCTTTTTACCCTCAAATTCAAAGATGTGGGCGTAAAATGCTATCCTGCTCTATTGTTGCGTAGCAATAGAAGCCTGCTCATGCTGCTTCGGAGGCGCTTTTTTGCCTTCTCTTCCCTCTAGGCGGGAGGGCTAGTGGACACGGGGAGGGAGCTGGCGAAGCGTGTCGTTCGTAATGCAAAGAAAGAGACCACTACTTCGCTTCTTTGTTGGACCGGCGGCGCGAACACAATGGTCTCTGACCAGGACCAGGAACCCATTCGAATTTGGATCTTGATATGTCTGTGCTTTTTAATCGTAGGCATCTTGCCAGGAAGTTGGTGGGCTCATCATGAATTAGGTCGGGGTGGCTGGTGGTTTTGGGATCCCGTTGAAAATGCTTCTTTTCTGCCTCGGGTATTAGCCACAGCTCGTATTCATTCAGTCATTTTACCCATTCTTTATTCTTGGACCTCGTTTCTTCATATTGTGACTTTTCCATGCTGTGTCTTAGGAACCTTTTCAATACGGTCCGGATTGTTAGCTCCCGTTCATAGTTTTGCTACAGATGATACACAAGGAAGATTTTTATGGTGGTTCTTCCTTCTAATGACCGGCATATCAATGATTCTTTTCTCCCAGATTCAGCATCAGGCATCAGTCCGTAGAACCTATAAAAAAGAGATGGTTGTGGCGCGAAGTACTCTTGTGCACCTACGGCACTCGGCTCGCGCGCAACCCCACCCCATTATGTTATGGAAGAATTGAACTGATTGCAGGGCTGGTTATTCAGAGCCAGCAATTGGCTGCCGTATTTGGTCCTGCAACTAGAAGAAAATCGCTTCGGGGGTCACAGTGGCGTGGCTGAATGTAGAGCAGTCCGTCCGCCCGCGTTTGATCAGTCGATTCTTTTTTTCTTCGGAAGATGGTCAAGGTAGCTTTCTTCCAAGCCACTGCACTAGATGCGCATGTAGTCGTAGTAGTCGACTCAGAATGCCTCTGTTCTATACTAAAAGACTACTTCCTTCGGAGGGGTCTTTGCTCTGCAAAATCAGGCAGACGAGTATACCATTGATTATTTTGATGGTTTTCTCGGTTTCGAATAGTATATGAGCGGAGCGAGAGCGACTAGGGTTTACTTCAGGAACAGAGGTTTTTGATGTAGTTGCGCACGTTTTTGCTTTTTTCATCTAGATTGGGTCGGTATTCAGTGTCAGTACAAGATCGAAAAGAATTCATAGCATTCCAAGTGAGATGTCCAAAATAAAAGGAATGAAGGGAAGAATCGATGAGCTTTTTAAGCCCCAAAACTCAGAATCCATGGAATGAATGTATCTAAATCCATGAAAAGTTCTATTCTATCTGTATAGATAGGGAGGGGAAACCCAGAGAGCTTGACTTTAAGATAGCTCGGGCAAGAAACTCCTCTTTCTTTATTAATGATCTTTCCCTACTTGACTTATTCACCTTTGACTGATGTAACTCGGTCTCGTGGCTTCACCCCTCGTAAACAAGGGAAAGCTATTTTACGGTCTCATTGCTTCGCCCCTTGACCTTACTTATTCAGGCCTTTAGGTGAGCTTGCGTAATTGTAATAAGTAAGTAAGCACAACTCAACTCTTCTACGGGTGACTGGATCGCCCCGGCGGGGTTGCTCTGACTCGGCCTTGAGAAGCGCAACACTCCAGTAACTGATCCTTTTGTAGGTTCAGGGGCAAAGAAAGTGTACCTTCTTTGATAAGCTCCCTTGGCGTTTCACTTCTGATGTTCTGCCTTGATGAGTGGGAGAGGTAGCTGAATTAGGATCTAACTATTGGCACGGACACAGCGCAGGAAATTTCGATCCTCAAAATGGGAAAGAAAGATGGAGGAAAACACAGCCCTTTCAGTTGCTCTCTACACGGTGACTGTCATTTTGGGTGTTACCTACCTTATCATATATTTGCCATAGAGGTTCATTTTCCTCACTCAGTAAATGATAAAGGGAGGAGGGCCCAGAATTTGAGCCCGATTCCAAGCGAGCGAAATTAGAGAAAGAACATCGTCATCTAATCTAATTGCTCCTGAACTCGTCCCTGAGCCTGAGGCCCCCCTTGTGATAGATGGGAAAAAAGAAAGAAGGTTTTTGTTTCATTCAACCAACTATCTTTTTGAAATAGTTCACAGTGCTCATTCTATAGATACTGGAAAAACCAAAGAGAATGAAATTGAATCTTAGTCAATTGAAATTGAAGAACCACATCCCGACCCAGCCACAAATCCTAAACTTTTTGGCTTCAACCTGCCCGCATCGGATTCCGCGGATACTTTGCGCTTAAAGGTTGATATCATTCTGGAGTCTTATTTGGATTCCCTTACTCGTGAGCGATACACCTGGTTAGACGTAACACAAAGTCTTGCTCGGTCAGCTCTGGGGATATAGTCACTTGAGATGAAAGAAGTATGCTGCTCGACCAGTTGCATAATTTGGGCAGTGAAAGCGGTATTCAAGCCTTGGAGCTCTTAATGTCGTAAGTGGCAGGATAGGAGAGGGGTGGGTCAAATTGCTTCGAGCAAGAGAAAGATAGGAAAGATGCCAAGTCAAGCCATGTACTACTATCGGCCATACAATGATGGCATTGTCGATCTCATTCGTATTCCAGTTTTTTGGACTTAAATGTGGCCTTTCATTCCTTAGGGAGCGAGAGGGATAAGGGGAAAGGGTTGGTTGCCCCTTACGCGCTTTTTTAGG